AAAATTGTGGTTGATGTACGTGAGTAAAAGCCATGTAAAGGAAGAAAGGATTCTTTCCTGCATTTGCTCTAATGAAACCTAATGCTGCATTTGAATACTTTGTTGAAAGAGTCGGCAAGTGTGCTGGCTGTTCTATTATATACGGTATTTTCAAACACAGGACAACTGACGAAGGAAGGATTACAAGGTATTTTAAGTGGAGAGTTGCAAGGTGCATTTGGATAGTAACAGATAGTGCATGGGCACTCATCATTTGAATATGGTATACCAAGATAATAGTCAAACCCATGGTTAGTGGGTAAATATGTTCCATTTTCTCCTACACCCAAGTGCCACTTTCCTACCATACCAGTCTTATATCCAGCAGTCTTAAGTGCTTCAGCTATTGTTGTCTCATTATGAGGTAGTCCTCCAATACTATTAGGATTTAAAACTCCTGGCCATATTCCAGTTCTTGGAGGATATCTTCCTGTCATGAGTGCAGCTCTTGAAGGACTGCAGACTGGATTAGCAGAATAAAACTGAGTCAAGACTAGTCCTTCACTTGCCATTGAATTGAGATTAGGTGTTGAAGAGGTTGGGTGACCGTATATCTGGAGGTCTCCATATCCAAGATCATCAGCAAATAATATTATAATATTTGGCTTATTAACAGCAGCTCCATAAACCCTGAGATAAAGAAAGACACTAAAAATGAGGGAGAGATAAGGAGACATTTTGGGTGGAGCTACCAGCCTATGTACTTTGCTTTATTCATATTGTGAGAGTTAAGGCTAAGCACGAGACATGATCAGATTGGGATGAATATTGTTACAATAGCTGTCACCCCATCTGTCACAAGGCAAATGCTCTATATGTGGACATAGCTACTGCCTCATAAAGAAATTCCATTGTCACTTAATTGAATTTATTATCTAATTCAAAATTGGCAGTAGTTTCGTTGCTATAATCAATTAAAGCAAATTTAGCATCCTTTGAAGCAACAGTCAATTACAATAATAGCAAAAGCACATAGTTCAGCTGGATACTCTGGCCCAACTTAAAGCTTGAAGTCCAGGTTGATACAGACAAGCTGATTTCCACTCTGATCAGTCACCACAGCATTACCTTTGTATTCTCCCTGCAAACATAAATTATTTTAAACATTATTTATACATATATATGCATACTGATGGAGCTACACTAGGCAAGCTTTCACTGATAGCCAAGTTTTGGTCTCCAGCAGCAAGAGGGCAAGTGGCGCCAGCACTTTTTACGGTATCACAGAGGTCAAGTGTCTTATCAATCAATGTAATACTGAAAATTCCATATTTGATATCAACCTTAATGCTACCACCAGTAACCTGTTCACCTAATTTTAATGTATTGAAAGTGTTACTCACAAAAATATGAATTGTAATGATTCATACTTAGAGTAACTGTGGCATTGACGCTGAGTGACTGTCCTCTTTGTGGTGGATCAGGATTGATGACAACACTCTTGATCTTAGCAGGGTCACTGGCACTAGCTATAGATTTGCTAAGAAATAAAGCAATAACTCTAATTGAACTTACAGCAATCAGTCCATATGTCTCCAAGATTGTCTTCAAGCAAAGGAACAGCTGGTTTTAACTGTTGCCTTAGGGGACTGGCTTGCATGATAGCCACCAAGGCACATAGAAAAAGAAGGGTCTTCATTTTATTTCTGCTGTGCTCTATTCTAGCAATATAAATACCTGGGGCAATGCAAGTGAAGGTAATGACTGTGAAATGTCTTTTTAAGGCTGCAGCCAGTAATGAATACGTTGCATGTACAATGATAAAAATAGCTCATACACTAGATATTGTTTGGGTAGCACAGTCTATACACCAGAGGTTATTATTAAAATTGCATGCATTTATTTGTAATGGATTCAAAGATTGCTTTTACCTAGTCTGACAACACGTCACTTTATCAGTATTAGACTATATCTATAAAAAATAGTTTACTCATAATGAACGACATCTAAGTAGCAAATAAGTCACACATTATATAGATAAGCCACAAGTTCTGTTTATAGTTTAAAATTTAGGTTGATGCAGACTAGCTCTTTTCCATTTTGATCTGTTGCTTCAGAATTCCCTTTATAGCTTCCCTATACATGATATTATATTATATTACTCAAATAATGTCATTTAACATAGTGTATACCGATGGAGCAGAACCAGGTAAGCTTTCAGTCATGATAACATTGTGGTCTCCAGTTTTAAGAGGGCAACTGTCACCAGCACTTTTTGCTATGTTACACAGATCATAACTCTTATTGATGACAGTGATATGAAAGGTACCATATTTAACAACCAGAGTTATCTTTCCTTCAGTTACTTCTTCACCTGTAGTATTGATACAGTTGTACATTGTCAGAGTATACATTTATGATTCTTACTAAGTGTTATTGTAGCATTAACACTGACAGGCTTATCCTTTTGAGGTGGGTCAGGATGAATGGCAACACTCTTGATTTTTGCTGGGTCTCCTGGTCGAGCTATTTACAAATGGGAAACATTCATAAGACTGTATTGCTGGTTACAATTTACTTACAACAATCACTCCAAATGTCTCCAAGGTCAGCATTATCATGAAGAGAAGGATGAGGAGCAGCTGGCTTCAAGTCTATCAAAGGACTTGCTTGAAGAACAGCCACCAAAGCACAAAAGAGAAGAATTGTCTTCATGATTGAACTGAGTGTAACACGCTATCTGGTATAGAATGACCTGGCTTTATATGGACCCTCAACAGTCACTGAATGCAATAACAGTATAAGGTTAGACTTTATTATGCTGGACACGTCAGAGGCAGGTTGCTTGAGTGGTCTGATAATATAATGCTGATGCTACTTGGTATGGGGGAGTGTGACATTATACCTACAATAACTTCATTGTTGGTTATGCTTTTTATGCAACAGTTACAATAAACCATTGCCCTGACAGTAGCAATAGCAGCCTTCACCTCTGAAGCAGTCTACTATCATGTACTCAATCTATTCATTTCAAAATTATAGCAGTTATGAAAATATCAAGACAGCTAGGTTTAGCTATTGTACATTATATCACACAGTTAGATTTTCAAAGCTGAAACTTCATCTCAATGCACACTAATTTCCTCCCACTTTGATCTGTTACTTCAGCCTTTCCCTTATAATTACCCTATATAGTATAAAAGCAAATATGACATTATTATTTTATCATTAATTGTAATGGTAAATACCGATGGACTAGCACCAGGTATTTCATCTGATATGGACAATGACACTTTTTCTTTAAGGGGACAATCTTCCTCTGCAACAGTGCACAGATCAAATGTTACTGTTCTCACAGGAATATTGAATATTCCATATGTTATTTTCAATTCAACACTACCACTGTCAATTTCCTCATCTAAAAAATACATGCATTGATAATTTGTTGTTACTTTCATATTTCTTTGTTGCTTACATAATTCAATTTCAGCATCAACTTTCAAGTCTTGACCTTTTGCTGGTGGATCAGGTGTAAGTGTTACACTGAGTACTTTAGCCAAATCATCAGAGTTTACTGAAAAAGTTCATTATACTTCTGTAGTGAATTGGCAATACTGTACTTACAGCAATCTTCCCAGTCAGCTTTTACAGCATCCAAATAGAATGGTTTCTTTTGAATGTGTAGAGGGCTGGCCTGAAGAACAGCAACCAAAGCAAAGATAAATAAAACTTTCATAGCCCTGTTAACAGTGCTGAAGAACTCCTAAGTGACAATCACTGTATGTAAGAATTAGATGTAGGAGGTGATCAGAATAATGCTATAATCAGCAATTTTACAGCTATGATTGCTATTACAGTGGGTCATGTGTTGTTGAATGTGTGGGCTGCTAAATATAGTAAATGACTTAACAAGGAAAAAGAAAAACTGATATTTATCAAAAGAACTTAAAACTTTTTTACATGGACAATAGTAGCATGCAGCTGTTTCAAAACATAAATTGAAGAGTTAGCTCAATTTAAAATCAAGGTTAATGCAGCCAAGTTCTCTTCCACTTTGATCTGTCAGCACAGCAGAGCCCTTGTAATGTCCCTGTTATATTGAATATTATGATAATTGCTTTTATTATTATATTTATCTTACACTTGGAGCAGAACCGGGTATACTGTCTTGTATGACAATCTCATGAGTTCCATCGGACAGTGGACATCCTCCTATAGCGTCTTTACAAATATCATAAGTCTCTGAGACTGGAACAAAGAAATATTTTAAGGTTAGCTTAATTGAGCCAGAAGTAACATTCTCTTCTACAAAAATAAGCAGCATCAAGTTTAATTATAATCAATCAGTTTTACTTAGTGTGAAAAATGCATCGACTTTGATTTCTTTTCCTTTCTGTGGTGGATCAGGTGTGATTGTTAAGTTGATAAGTTTTGCTGGATCACTAGACTTTGCTATTGTATAAAAATATGTAATAAGAAAATTAGAAAGTTTGCATATTAAACTTACAGCAATCAGTCCATATGTCTCCTAAGGGACTGTCTTGAAGGGAAGGGAGAGTAAGAGCAGGTTTCAAATCAATGAGAGGTTTCCTAATGATGGGGCTAGCATGAAGGACAGCAACTAAAAGTCCAAAGAGAAGAAGAGCAGTCTTCATGTTGCTTGACCACTAGTGAGTTGGCTAGTGAGGTGATTGGGAATGTGAATGACCATAAATGGATCAACTGTTTACTATGCAAGTTGCCAATTCATAACTTAATAATAATTAAAAATTAATCATTCATAACTCCAAACATTGTAATTGTATATGCCACAGCCCAGGGTTTTGCACAGGATTTGATAATTTTCTACCGTCATAATTTTTCTGATGCATATGCATGTTCTTGTGTTGCATAAGAATTTTGAGCTTATTCTCATCAAAATTGACTTTTTTTACAAATTTTTGAAATTGCTGAAAATTTCATTAAAAATTGCTAAAAGAGAATTCTTAATTTTTATAATTTTTTTCTGATACATATACGTGTTTTTGTGTTATTTAGAAACTTTGAGCTGTTCCAATGAAAATCAGACTTTTTACAAATTTTTACAAAAGACATGTTGTGCTTGTCAGCTCATGAAGCATATTGTTTAGCTCACTTAGCTTTTAATATTTTTATTTCATAATAGCTATTGTACATGTTTCTACACACACTAGCATAAAACTGTTTCTTAAAGTTTTTGATGTAGTTTATAGTCATCCCTCCATCATGAAATCCAGAGTGACGCATAAAAACTCCACACCAGTTTTTGTACTAGCAGTAATGTTAGCAGTGTAGTGACCCTATTAATATAAAAGATAGAAATAATCATCATTAGACAATCATAAGGTGGAACAGGAATTGGCTTTTCATGTACTTAATTAAAGTGTATCAGAATATGTAATAAATATTGACAAATCTTACTGGCAAAATTTACTTGTAAAATGCTCAAATGATAACTCATAAATCAGTCATTGGAATTAGTCATACATTAATATGTATCATACAGTACTCATGATATAGCTATTATTACCACTGGTGCCTCAGCTGGTATAGTTTGAGTAACATTAAAGAACCCAGACTGTGTTTGAACCAATGGGCACTTTATACCAACAATTGTGAATGCATCACAGAGACCCAGGTCGAGAGACTCCTGATCTCCAGCTAGATTAATATCAATCTTAAGGTCTCCATCTTGAATGAGCATATCTATGATATATAATGTATAGTAATGAGGTTCTCATTCCAGATAATTAATATTATGCACTCACCCAGTGTATATGATGCTTGGACATTGATCGGCTGACCGGCTTTTAATGTAGTTGGAGACACAAGTATTTTTGTGACTTTCATTGGACCACCAGGCTTCGCTATTTATATGTATTATGTATTAAATTTTAATTGTGAGTTTTAATGCAGGACTTACTGCAGTTTTTAACTGGTGATTCATCTCTTAGTTTCTCTGGCCCATTAACTGGTGGCTGAAAGTCCACAATTTTGATGAGAGAGCGCCCAGTTATGGTGGTTGCAATGGCAAGAGAAACAGCAAAATAAAGTAGAAATCCTTTCATTATTCCTGTACAGCAATTACTCAGCCCTGCAAAAAGCTGCTAAGGTTAATCAACGCCCACGCATTTAATCACGTGATTCTTAGCCGCACCCTCGCCCCTAAATTTCACTCGAGCAGTCGAGTTTTGACTTATTCCATTCTTCCACTTTTCTGCCGTGTCTCTCTGCTCTCCCTCTCTTTCAAAAGACGATGCCACGAGAGGAGGCGGATAGGAAATGCTGTGCCTGTACAGTAGAGTGGGCTATGTGGGGCAACATGAACGCCTTTTATGCCGGACTATGTGAGAACGATCACTTGTGATGCCCTCTTGTGCATTTATGGATTTATTTCTTTAGTTATATTTGTTGGGTCAGTTGTTGCCGCCTCTATACCTGAGATAGCCATTGATGGACAGTTTCCAACTAATGTTGGCAGTGCCCTCAGATGGATCAACATGTATCCTCTTGTAATTATAAAAAGGCTACAGTGTATGGTAATCTTTGTCGTGTGTTATTAATTTTCATCTACAAAATTTAAGATGCCTCCAGGTCCTATTGTATATAGGCTATGCCCAGAACACGAAAATTAGCTCACACAAATTTTAATTTTTGAGCACTTTTTGAAAACATGAAATTTTAAGCACTTGAATGTACATGTACATGTTTATTATGGTATGGTTGCCACTAATGTTAGGTTTAAGGGTTTTTGTGTATGTTGCATGTTAGGGCTTTAAGTTTTTTTTACTCTCTCTCTCTAAATTTAACTTATGCCTATGAAATAATTGTTTTCAATGCATCATTTAAATGTTACATATTTATTATTTTGTGTGGGCACTATTTGATTTTGACTAATTTATACTTTATTTGGCAGCTCTTAGACGCATAGACCATATCTACAGATCCTTTTTTAATAGGATGTGGAGTCATGTACCCCAATATAGAGCACTTGTTTGTTTACTAGTAATACTATAGCTTCATTGATAACCTTATAGTGATACTATATGTTTATGTATCAGGGATTGTGTAGTACATGTAGGGTCATTTTCATCACAGAATCATAGCATTACATTCACAGATTATCTTTGGATGTATGATAATGATGTATGATACTTTCTTTAACACAATGGCTATAAGATTTATTGGTTTATTTGTAATGCTTGTTGAGTATCCATTGAGTGCCAGGAGATCCAAGAAGACAGCTGTGGAGAGACCGTATGTCACACCCTCTCATTTCTTTGTACTATATCTCTTATATCTCTTTTCCTTTTCCCTTGATTTTCTCTCTCTCTCATTTTTCTATCATCTCTATTTCTATTCTTCTTTTGTCTTAGTGGTCAGAGATACATTGCTCCAATTCTTCACAACCTTCGATTTGTTGGTTCTAATTACATCATCAGATTCATGCTTTATATGATGTAAGTGAATTATGATTTCTTTGCTATAATTTTCCTGACCCTGGTATATACATGTAATGTATCAAGCTTTACCTCATTCCAATGTAAATTGGATTTTTAGGAACTTTTAAAGTTGCTTTAAATTTGCCTAAAGACCATGGGCTACAGGGTATTTCATCAAAAATGCCTAGGAGAGAATTCTCTATTTTTATAATTTTATCTGATACATACATGTTCTTATGTTATGTAGAAAGTTTGAATTAATTCCAATAAAATTTAGATTTTTTATAAATTTTTTAAGTTGCTCAAAAATTAGGCATAAACTGTACTATAGTATATAGTATTTAGCTTTGGCAAAAATGACTAGGAAAGAATTCTCAGTTTTTTGAATATTTTTCTGGTACGCATGCATGTACATGTACATGTTCTTTAGCAAGTTTGTTTCTGATTGAAATTGGATTTTTTTAAGTTTAAAATGTCAATATTATTTAATAGTAATCACTGTAATATTATTACTTTTGGTGCATATCTGTAAATCATTGCTTACTATTCACATTTTCTCTTCCATTATAGTATATCAGTTCCTGTATTCTTCGTACTCTCATCTATTTTTGGAGGTCTGTGTCTCCTTTGTGCTTGTGCCTGTTACTTTGCTGTAAGTACATGTACATGTACATGTACTTACTCATGCATAATAGTTGTACACTCTCTGCTACCAAGAGTATACCATATAGCGCTTTAATGTGGCAGGGTTTTATTTTGGCAATTGGCAGTTTGCAAGCAGAATCACCAATATTAAAACCGCCAATCATTAATGAGCATGCTCAGTAATGCACGTGTGTACACAAAAAATGACCAAATTAAAAACTGCCAATTACAATTTTACAGCAAAATTGCCAAAATAAAGTGCTATATGGTATATACTCCTGCTGCTACTGATAAAATGTTAGTATTATTTAGAGTCTACTTAAAGTACTACATATATCAATTCTTAAATGACCTTTAAAGCTATTCTTTACTAATTATAGGCTGCCCTCAATGGTGAGAGTTGGAAGGCTCCCACACTAGGCTGGGGTCCTGGTAAAACCGTCACTAAGAAAGGTCCTCAGATCAAAGAGATTCCAAAGGCACCCACAGAACCTCCTCCTCGTCCACCCCCTCAAGCACGAGAGGGTCTCATGGCTCCTCCCAGTGGATCACCTCCTGGTTACCCCTAATGATTGATGATCGTCAACCATCATGGACCATTATAACTTTTTAGCAGTTTTTCTCTCACTCAATTTTTAATGCCATTATTTTTTGGTTTCTGTTTCTTTTTCTCTGACACTATTTTTTGCAAAATATTGTGTATAAGTAGTTTTTGTGTATCATTTTTTTAGTTAAATGAATTTTTAAAATAATACTAATAGTTAAATCATGAGAGGATTACACAGGTGCAGGTAAGCCTTAAGAATGAGCGTCTTGCCATAACACAATCTATGGTCTTGTAGATCATTTTTGAGGGCATTTTGATCAATAGATATTAGATTAATAACAATAATAATATTAATTTTTATCTTCTTTATTTTCACTGTACAAAATAATTACATCATAAAATAGTTATTAAATGAAAAATGATAATTGTGGGAAGGAATAATGAATAAAATTTAAATAAATAAGGAGATTGCGAGGACATAAAGTGTGTATATGTAATGCCACATTGAGAGGATAAGGGAGAGATAATCAGAATGGGATAAATGAGATTTATAAGTACATAAGGAGAGAGAGAGAGACCGAGTGCGATTGACAGATTAAAAACCAATCAGGAGGTGAAGTGAGAGGGATACAGGAAAAGCACTGGAGATGGTTACTTCAAAACAGTCCACTGTTTAAAAAAGAGAGGGGGAGACAAAGAAAGAGAGAGAGAGAAAGAGGAGGGGGAGACAAAGAGAGAGAGAAGAGAGGGGGGGGGACAAAGAGAAGTACATTAAAAGATTCCCACAATAAGAGGGCAGATGTTATAGGAAGGAAATGAGAAATCAAAGTGTGGGAGAGGTGCAGGGGAGGGAGGGGAGAGCAAGAGAGAAAATCAGAGATTTAATGGAAAGAGGGTGTACATTCCAACCACAACATTTATACAACTAATGTGATTCATAAACCACATGAAACTGGAGAGGCTTCAGGCCCCACTCCACATCAATTAACTATGGCAGGCCTAGTGTAAATCCAGACTAGAGGTCTTCCAAAGGGTAGCAAGAGGTAGGGGGGTAATTCAATTTAGATCATACATCACATCTTTTGTTTCTACCACACATACACACACACTCATAACATAACAAACTCAAGAAGCCACAGTCCAATGAAGCAATACATGCTTACATGAGTCAGTGGTCATGATACCAATATGTACACACACATGTCTTACATATTAGCTGGCCATTTCTGAAGGTGAATGAGGTTGTCGTTGCTCCTGCCACTTCCTCTGACTCTCTTCAAAAAGTCTTACTCTCTCTTGGGTCTCTTTCATAACCTGCCGCATTACTTCATCTTCTATCTAATAAAGAGAGAGAGAGAGAGAGAGCGTGAGAGAAAGATAGAATAAAGATGACACATACTCCTTACACTTATAGCTGCCTATTACACCAGCTATTAATGCGAAAGCAACTGCTAATGTGCTACTAACATAACCAATAGAAGGACAAAACAAAACACAACTCTATGCACAGCACCAATTAGGGACTGGACATACTGGTACTGATAGTACACAGTGAGTCTTATGATATTCATGACACACACACACAAATATACACAAACACTGGGACACAGAGTTGGTATCCATCCTTGTGTGTGTACACAGTAGGTCCCTTGACAATTGGAAACCAAATGACAGAGTGTATTCTTCCACACCCAAAGCTACCCCAGTAGCAACCCATCCACCACAAGCCATTAATTGAAGCCCCAGGTGTGCTGACCAGAAGGATGGATCAACTTAAACCTCAGTGAAAAGAATACACCAACCACAAGGAGAATAATAATAATAATAATAACCAACCATTATACATACACTTTCTTTATTTGACACTCTTCTCTAAGTGTTTTTCCTCTTGTACAGCCCTCCCCCTATCTTACACCACTCACCATAAGTAATGTCAGGCATTACTTTATAATATGATCCCCTCCCCTATATACACATGTGTACATGCATACCTTGGCATTCTGATCGTCAAAGACCAGTTTTGCTTTACCAGTCAGAGTTTCTAAGTCGACCCAACCAATCCACTTGACACATACGCCATTCATTATGAACCGGGATGAGAGGTGTACCTGTAGAGTGTGTGTGAGAGATTGTGATGAGTGAATGTGAGAAAGAAGAGATTAGGTAACACCTGCTGGATGCAGAGAACAGGAGTAAGGACCAGCTGTTGGTAAGATTGTGGAACCAGCTGATTACATTATAGTGACAGTATATACAAATACAAGAGCAATAATAGGTGTGTGCATAGGAGGGTCATTCATTGCTGTAGATTGACTGGGAAACTTTATGTGGTACATATTGAAAACAATCAAATACTGCAGTTTCCTCTAGCACATTGATAGTGCATTGATAAAATACCTTTCCTAGCTCTGATTCAAAGTCAACATTTTCTCTGCTTGGTTTGTGCTCAGCTGTCCGATCATCACTTAGTGCCTTGGAACAGAATAGAAGAGTCAAATTTGTGCCTGTTGATACAAAAGTCTGAAGGAGAAAGAGTAATAGAGATAAGGAGAATAGTTTTATAAGGCTTTACTACAGTTACTGGAGAGTGAGTGGGGCTCACCAATATGGAGTGTCCTTCAGATAGGTCTTGAATAAACCTTTGTCTACGCTCGTCATGTGGCTTGTCTTTGAAGCCAGTGTACTTAATCTACAGTGGAAGAATGTGTGATACCAGATATGAGAGCATTAACAGGATTTTAAAAAGATAAAAGCGATAGCACTATCAACATCATGCCATGGCTTTGCGGTAGAATAAATTTTAATGCTTACGTCGGAATCTTGGGAAAGCTTCTTAAAAACTTCCTCCGACTCAAACTTCTTTTGTTGGTCGGGAAATACTCGTGGCATTGTAGCTGCCCTGAGGTCGGAGATTGGATGTGGATAGGGAGAGAGAGGAACTGGCAGTGTTATATTTTCACAGTGTTTGGTGTTGTATTCCAGTCGCTCTTTTTATGCAGGAGAGGGGTAGAGTTTCAGGGCGTGTCTTCTTTACTCTAAGCATGTAATGAATGAGTCAGATGTTGTGCACAACAGGTTGGTACTGCTTTAGGTGGAATAAAAGAAGATGCCTGGTTCTTATATTAGCTCTCACAATCCTGGCCTGTTTCTTAGTGATTGATAGTGTCCATCAAACTCATCATGAGATATCAGTAGATTGCTCTGATAAACAAAGCATGGATTTTATTTTGGACATAGTAAGTTCATTTACAGCTGGGAGTACTATATACATATTAATTAAAAGACTATGTAACCTATGATGTAACTTAGCTTATTTTGTCAAACCTTAATGATGTTCAAGCACAAAATATTCATAATTATTGTTGACACAGCTAATCATCCCATGCATAAAATGGTAGAACACAGCCTAAATTTAAAGATCATTAGATGATGTAAATAATCCTTGTTCGGTTTGTAAAAAGAAGACCAGATTAATGTTTTTAAAGCATTTTAAAAGCTTAATTATATTCTTGTTTCGGAAAATGATTTACATTATATTACTATCGTCAAAAATTAATTGTCAGCTAAAATAATTATACTTGTAATTATTGATATCTTTATGATGTTATTCTTATAGTGTAGAAACTACACAGCTGGATACGTGACTGGGAGCATATGCCAGCCATTGTGCAAAAGCAACAGTATCTCTTATATAAAATGTCTTGGACACAAAGCGACTGACTTAGTTCTGTTAGCATGGTGGAAAGGCCAAGGAAACGTAATACTTAAAGCTGATGTTAATTTAAGATCAACAAAGTCATTTCATTTTCAAGGCAGCATCAGCGAGGATCAGTTGGCATTACCTTATCATATACCATTAGTGGCACAATTCAAAGAGCATTTAAGAGCAGGTTAGCAAAACAAGCATATTGTATATTGATGATATTAACAATGACATTAGGAGTACCGTCTATCTGGAAATTTTTACTGTGATTTAAATTTTACTGTATTAGAATTTCGCAAAAATTAGATCACCCGTATAATTACATGCTACATTCAATAATACATAACACAGTCTTATTTAGTAAAAATTAAGTCACAGCACAATTTTAAACAGCAAAAATTTTCTACCACACTAATTTCCTGATCTACGGTATTTCACATAGCAAATAATGTAGTAATTAGATATTGCATGCATTGTGAAATCTATGTAACTTGAGAATGAAATGTTGCCCAATTCTTGTATAGGTTACAATATATTGGATCATGTTATCGATAGAATACTATTTGAATGTGACGTTGGGCAGGATGGGACACTGACCAACAGAGAAGCATTATACTGCTGGCATATGATGGACAAAGATGAGATACTATTGAGCTTAAAGTTGGAGAACATGCAACTGGTTCCTGGTCTATATGGCACGTGTGGAAACCTCATGGCATTTGAGTATATCCCTGGACAATCTTTACGTTATCCAATAGTCACTGATAAGAGAAGCTGGGACTTTCGTGTCCAGTTATCAATATCGCTGATAGAGTTAGTGGAGAGGTTCGACGACATCAGTAAAGCTGATAATTATCTTCTCTGTGATTCTCAGGAGGGCAATTATGGAGTAGTTCAATCGCCTGGTGGCGGTTATATTGCTATGAGTGTCGACAATGATTTAACTATCTCTGAAGGAAGTCTTCAAAGGTCTTTGAATTTTGAAAAGAATAATTCATGCAGTAGTAATTATGACTGTTCATTTATTGACTGTGACGTTCACTGTGACACTAGTACAAGAAAATGCTCTGGAATCATCCTCTCTAATAACTTACAGGTACAATATTCACATTTATTTTATGCCTCATCAACTTTCCAAGTTGATGTGCAATGTCCAGTAGCTAGAACTGTAGGACTAGCCCTGTACTATACTACTATAGTACAGGATATTTCAGCAAAAATCACAAGGAGAGAATTCTCCATTTTAGTATTTTTTTATGCATACAAATACATTTACATTGCATAGAAATTTTGAGCTAATTTTAATCAAATTTGAATTTTATAATGAATTTTTGAAGTTGTTAAAAAATTGGGCCAATTAAGTGCAGAGATTCCTGCTAAATTTGTCAAATTTGAAAGAAGAGAATTCTCAATTTTTATAATTTTTTTTGACACATATACATGTACTTATGTTATGTAGAAAGCTTGAACTGATTCCAATCAAAATTGGATTTTTTATAAATTTTTTAAGTTGCTCAAAATTGGGCCAAAGTCCCTGTAGAGTGATTTGGCCAAAAATAGCTAGGAGAAAACTCTATTTTTTATATTTTTTCTGATACATATACATGTACTTATCTTATGTAGAAATTTTAAGCTGATTTTGAACCAATTTCGATTTTTAATATATTTTCAACATTCCTCAAAAATTGAGCCAAACACCCAATCTTTGGCCAAATTTTGTCAAAAATAGCTTGAAAATAATACTCCATTTTCTATAATTTTTTGATACACATAAATGTACTTTAGCTGTTTAGAAATTTTGAACTTGTTCCGATCAAGATTAGATTTTTTTATGAATTTAATAAAGTTGCTCCAAAAATGCCATGTACTGTATTGCAGTTCTTCTTAGCTAACTTTAACTTAGCATGCTTTGTGAGTGAGTGTATTTCAAATCACTATTTTTATAATTAGCATTTAGCATAGCCTTTTAATTAGTTCATGCAATACAAGGCACCTCTCTTGATGGGGGGCATTTTGTTTGTACAAAGTAAACAGACACCTCTACCTGCCAGACACCTCTAGCTGATGGTTGTATAAAGAGGTTCCAGTTGTAGATCATGTGAGTACACTGATAGACTATGATAGACTCGATTGATAGCATTTATGTTTTTGATGAATGCTTGAGTAGAATCAATTATCATTTTGTGCATAGTGTTAATTCTTTATGCGTTCAAAATTCTGTTATCTCTCCCGGAACAATAACATTAGATCACGCATATGATTACATGCCGTATTCAATAATGCATGACAGTCTTATTTTGTAAAAATAAAAATCACATAAAATTTTCTAAAGAATAAATTTCCAGAGACATGATATTATTATTATTATTTAATTTTTCTTTAGCTCATATGCAAGAAGTTTTTTGTTCCTAAAGTGCAGAATTTACTAAGCAAAACACTGCTACATGATCCACCAGTATCAATATCAGGGGAACTACAGAGTCTCATTCATCAATGCATTGCTCCTGTCAGTCCTGTGAACATCTCAACTAAAATATCAAGGAAGCTATCCAAAGAATTCAAAACACTATTGTTAAAGAGCATCAGTGATCATTAACATTAATAACAGACCTACATGTACATGTACATCTATATGCTGTGTACATTATTGTAAAATAAAATTAATTTTTTCCAGTCAGTATCAGTCTAGACATTGCCCTGATGATTTGATCTAATGTACTTCCTTAGGAAGATATCCCTAGAGTTGTTATATGACATAATTCTGACCATAGAGCAATAAAAGTCATTATTTGAAGATAAAGGGCTTAGAATTGGTTTGTCATTTATTGGTCAGTCCATAGCAAGGCTACATAAAATACCAGCATCTGGAACAAGCATGCCAGCATGTAGTAACTATGGAGATAGTATACAATGAAATTTTAATTTAATATTAATTTCGTCACAAAAAAACATCAACAGACAAATCAAAAACTTACAAATCAACGAGATGCATAATTAAAAATTTCTATGGCCCAAAATGAAAAAAAACAAATATTTTAATCCTTAAAAATTTACCACGTCAAAGTGCAATCACAAAAATTTTGGAATATAGAAATTTCTAAATGGGAGCCACCCAAATTAATCAGTGTAAAAATATTTCACCAAAATATACTCTATTGAACTTATCACAAACATTATGATTATTATGATTATTATTATTAAACAACAGTAGTAGATCATTGTCTATATGCACTGTAAAACAGTTATTTTGAAATGAATGATGTTAGTTTTATTATTATCTGTTTCGTGAACCAAAGCCAACTAAATTCATAACCTAAAAATCACAAAATCCAAACAATCCTTCATTCATAACATCTTACTGTAGTGATGGCAGCTGATCCAAACTCATAAGCTCCACCCACAATACCTTCTGCCTGTTGACGACACTCTGTAAACGTGCGTGTATCTTGAAAACGTCGTCTCAGGAAATCCCAAGTATCCTGAAAATTTACTGACTTGTCTTGAATCATATAGAGCTCTGTGAAATTGATTTAAGAAATAGAGTATTAATTAAGTACACGATACCATAATTACTAATGCTAATAATAGCAATGATATTTAAAATTTGTAGACAGTTCAAATCACTTGTGTAGTGCTACTAAGCATTACAGTCTGTTGCCTATACTAAGAGGTGAGAGCAATGCTGTGAACATACGTGTGAATCAACAGCTGCTAGCTACCCTTAATCCCCCACCCCACCCAGGGCTGGTATCTCATTAATAAAGATGTGAAGATTTTATGACTTCCACAAAAGAATAACACTTTAAAGGTCAATAGCATGTTTACTTCATTGGGACTCACTTTAACAAGGATAACAAGAGTATTAATATGTATATGCTACATGTGTTATTGTACACCAACTAATGTTAGTATAATCAATCAATCCACTAATGATATACATTAATCATTGTGTGTTTCACATCGTTTGATTCCATGTATTGATAATTGTAGCTGTTTTGTACTTATTTAATCGTCAAATCAAAAACATGAATTAAAAATTTAAATAGTGAATTATATTGCCTAGCTCAAAGCTTATGATGATAACAGTCACAAATTTCACAAAATGCAAAAAAATTAAATGTTAAGCTTCATAAAGTGAAGTTGTACATGTATGTGTACATTTAGAAAAGCACAGACCATTTGTCAAGGATTTATTCACAAACTCTGTTTCTTTACACAATCAAGAAAGTTTCTACATAAGCTATTGTATTATACTATGTGTCAGGGTTTCTTGGTACAGTACTCAGCTTCTTGCCACCTCAAGAGCTTTTTAGAAAACTCTGATTCATGATATTTTGTCAAAAATGGCTAGGAGAGAATTCTCAGTTTTTATAATTTTTTCTGATACACACGCATGCTGTTATGGTGTGTAACAAGTTTGAGCTGATTCCAGTCAAAATTAGATTTTTTTACAAATTTTTAAAGTTACTCAAAAATCAGACCCAAAACCATGTACTGTAGTACACAGTCTTGAGCTGAATTTCATCAAAAAATGACAAGGAAAGAATCTTTCATTTTTATAATTTTTTCTGATACATATACATGTTCTGATATTGTACACCCAGTTTGAACTAAATCTGGTCAAATGTTGATTTTTTTATGAATTTTTAAAGTTACTCAAAAATCAGGCCCAAGACCATGTACTGTAGTACATAAAAAATGACAAGGAAAGAATCTTTCATTTTTATAATTTTTAAAAATACATATACATGTTCTGATATTGTATATCCAGTTTGAGCTAAATCTCGTCAAATGTTGATTTTTTATGAATTTTTGAAGTTACTCCAAAAGCCATGTATGCACTAGCTAGTATACTGTAGTGCAGTGCTTGTCAGCTCATGAAGCTCATGCTGTTTAGCTCACTTGGCATGCTTTGTGGGAAAACCTCTTGTATGCATGCATGCTTAGTTTGAGTACCTGTAGTACAATAGACAGCTGCTAGTATCCCCCTCTTAGTGTACCAGTTAAAATCAGTTGATCTGTCACCAGCGTAATACCATATGTCATCAAACATCTGACTGGCTCTCTCTAAGGATCCTACTGCATTACTGGGATAGGCTTTAATTGAGAGCGCCTGTGAGTGAATAAAACAGTAAATTAATTATAACCTCTGATTATTTTGTCAGATTTTTGATAACATTAAAACAGGATATACATGTACATGTACATACCTCAGGCCATTTATCAATGTAAGGTATTAACATTTGCAATCTCTCCTCAACAGCTGACTGAACTAGACGACCACCTTTTAAACTAATAAAAGAGAGAGAGAGAGAGGGGGGAAAATAGAGAATGAAGTCATGTACATTGACAATAGTAAAATAAAAATTATAATGTACACTGTACATGTACATGTATTTTATCATTAAATTTTGTGCATGTACATGCACAATAATGAACCTCGTAATGAACAGTAATATAATAATATCAAAATAGAGAAAATACTAAAAATATGGTTAAATTGATGACATACGGTTCATTATCTCTTGTTGTCATATCCTCAAGGTATTTTATTAATCTTGCATTACAATCAAATTCAAAGTGTTCAATTAGTTCAATACCGCCTGATGGGAACAACCCGTGAGCCACTCCAGGGAAATCAACAGCTTTGGCTCCAGACTCAAGTGCCTTTACACTCCACCCATACTGAGAAACAAACTGCAATGACGAGTCAAGAATTAGTTTACGGTCTATTCCAGGAGATGAACCATCATTTGACTTTGCTTCACTGCAGAATAATCGACTTGAAACTACAAATGATATTTCTAAATAAATTAATATAATTATATTACACATACCTCTGGAGCTGTTCCTTATATTGACACTTGAAAATATCCCAATAAAAGATAACCTGAACCTAAACGAAGACATGTTTGTGTACATGTACATATTGCATAATATTAATTAATTGATTTTGATATTATTCAGTCGGGTAATTTTGAATAAAAAGAATTAGAGACAATACGGCACTCGTTGCTGAGAGCGATTTATTAAGGAGTCCAAGGAGGAGTCTCTCAATCGAGACAGACAGAGAAAGTTGAGACAGAGAGGGAGAGAAAGAAAGATGGCATCCAAGATAGCAGGGCTATACGACATGGAGGACACGCTCGGGTCTGGTCATTTTGCTGTCGTCAAGTCAGCCCGTCACGTCTTTACTGGTGAGTCCTGGAGTCTCTTTCCAACTGTCTTCCCTCTCTCTCCCTCTCCCCTTCACTCTCTTCACTTGTAATAGAACGTTATTAGTTAGTGCTGGGTTCCTTTACTGTACTGGTTTGGTTTATGTAAATATTGTAATGACAGAAACTGCATAGCTTTAGTTTTCATGGAATAACATACATGTACATCAATCATTGGGGAAGCTTTGATGTTGGTATTATTGCAATTATGTATAATATACTGTATTATTGTTACAACTATATGGAATTATAAATCACAATAAAGCACCTCTTGTATATTTTATACGTACAGTGAAAGGACTATTATACTCTGTAGAGTACAAGTTCTATATAAACTGTTTTATCCTTTGCTGCATAGAACATCATTATTTCATGTTTCCTCTCTATAAACTGTCCCTTTCCATTCTATTTCTCTCTCTCTGTTCACTTCTCATACCACTTTTCAACTCTTTGTTCTCCTTCCCTTTTTCTCTTGCTTTTCCCCCCTCTCTCTTTCTCTTTTTTCTCTTTCTTCCTGTAGGTCTGAGAGTGGCAGTCAAAGTCATAGACAAGACAAAACTGGATGATGTCTCAAAGACCCACCTCTACCAGGAGGTGCGCTGCATGAAACTGGTCTCTCACCCGTGCATCATTCGTCTGTACGAAGTCATTGA